GCAGTCGTCCTCAGAAATCTCAGAAATGGGAGGGATAGCTCGACAGTGAGCCTGATTTGGGGGTTTTCTCCCTTTTTTTTTTTGGTGATGAATGAAGTGTGGAGGGCAGGGAGGCAGCGGCGAGGGAGGAAGGGCTGAGCCGCGCTGTCCTCGCGAGCGAACGCTGAGCTCGCTGCCAAACCCGGCGTTTCTGAGCTGCGAGGAGCCCGGGCACTGAGCTAAGAGCACCAAAATCACTCCTACAGCCCCTGCCATGGGTGTGATGTGTCCTCCTCCCATCCTCTCCCTGTGCAAGGCGGGCTGCAAACTCACCCCGGAGAGAGTTTTGCAGAAAACAGTAATGCTGCTTTTTAAGAACTGGTTGGCAAGGGTGGTTTGAAAATGCTTGTCAGAAATAAGAGAGACAAAGGAGTTCCACTTGATTTTTTTTTTTTGTTTTGTTTTGTTTTTAATTTCTAGGTCTCCACATATAATCACAGAATGATTTGGGAAGGAAGGGACCTTAGAGATCACCGAGTTCCAAATTCCTGCTGTGAACATCTTCACATCCAATAATGTCTGCAGTCTCTGAAGATGTAATAGGACTGGAAAACTAATCTTGGAACATTTTTTCAAAGCAAAACACACCTAGGATTGACTCAGGACCTGATCCAAACTCCCCTGAGATGGTCAAGAGCCAGTTGGTGGCCTTAGCCTCGCTTGCCTCTCCTGTGCTGTCTGCAGTTGTTCCAAGCTCAGCCGATCCTCTCGCGCTGGCTCAAAGAAACTGATCATAATCCTCAAAGTGTTCCAGCGAGGATAAGAGCAGGATTTGATGCTACAGGAATTGTGAGTGGCTGTGCTTGGCATGGGAGAGGTTGGCAAAGCTTGGATCTCACAGTAACAGGAGCAGTGGTGCCACCAGGGGTGGGAACACCAAACACTGGTTTAAGCCGGGGGATTGGAGGTGCCTGGCTCCCATTGGCAATGCCAGGGATTTAAATGGGTATTTTAAAATATTTTTAGTTGGTGTTGGACTGGTTCTGGGTATGGCAAGTTCGGGATGCAGCGTTGGGAAAGGAGAACCCACAATAAAACTCCTGTCTCAGTCCTCCAGTTGAAGACATCCCTTGAGCAATGATAACAGTGACAAATCTCAATATCTGCTCAGGTGAAAAGTGCAACAGACACCAGGGAAAAACTACCAGGAATTCAGAATTCCAACATGTAGATGTGAAAGGCAGATTTGAATTTAATCCCTCGGAATTAGGAGAGGCATAAAAGTCCCATTATGGAATGGCACAATGTATTAGCAGTTGTAGGTGTTAAATCAAACCAAGGTACATGATGTTAATGGGCAAAGTGACTGTGTTTAAACAGTTGTCTACTTATTAAATCTCTAATTAAGGACATGCAAACCAAGTGGTGAAGATTTTTCCACTAAACATGATAAATTGTGATTAGCAGAATGTTTTTAATGTGCTGCAGAGCAAGCCAGTTTTATTAAAAAAGAGCAGAAGCCACCCAAATTTCTCCCAGCAGCTTTACCTGTAATGACAGTGGTACCTCTGCAGGTCACAATAAATTGATTTTCTCTGTGTGTGTTAACTCCTGACTGCAGTTTGGATCCCATTTTTTCTGTTTTTTACAGCCCTTCTTTACAGCATCTTTTGGGATTTATCTCAAACAGGCCAGACAAGCTGGAAGTGACTTTTTGGAAGCTGCCTCATGACTTTCTGCCTGGATTGCGTGTGATGGGAGTGTAAGTATTTTCCTGCTACAGCACACCCCTCCATAGGAATAAGTGCACTTACTTGACTCAATCAGCCATCTGTGACTCCATCAGCCACAGTGGAAACTAATGGTAATTGCCAATTGTTAACCAGACAATAGCAGATGCTAACTTTAATATCCAGCAGTGCTCTTCCGAGCATCTTTTATGGAGACATGGCCTCACTTTAATACGTGTTTTCTTTCCCCAAAATAAGGCAACTTAGTGAAGGCTGATTAGCCTAGGGAGCTATGTGACTTGAAGCAATGAACTTCCAGGAATGGCAGCCCATGTGCTGTTTCTGGGCCATAATGCCTAGAATGTGAAAATTTAGAAGACTGGATTTAAAATTCTTCTCCGAATGCAATTTTTTTTTTCCCTGTGAAATTTCACAAAGAGCCACGTCCTGGATGCTAACACGAGAGCGATGCCTTTCCTGGCAGTGTCCTTGCCTCCTATTAGATAATCAATTAGTCTCAGAACATTAAAAAGCAAAATGCTGCAACAGGATTTTCCACCAAATTCAAAAATATTTACTAAAGGATTTCATTGCTGCTGTTTATTTACATGGAAGCCTGAAGGCCGCACGACATAATGCTGCTGCTCTGGCACCAAGACAGCTCTGCAGCCTGGGCCCCGAAGGACATCTGGAGTTTCTGGGTCACAGTGGTTCCTTTTTGCAGAAATTTGCTCGCAGGAAGTAATGAATGAGCCCATTTTCACTTCGACTGGGGCCTGCAGTCTACGGGAGACATTAGGAGCAATTTGTAGTCAACGTGCAGGTCTGTTCCATCTAAAATATTATCAATGAGCTTGTCAACCCGAGCCTTAACCTTCTTTGTTATTTTCATCTGCTCCTCTCTCAGATGTCTCTCCTCGTAGCCATAACCTCTGAAGACTGGCAACAGGATGTCATACACCTGTTTTGCTCAAGGCTGGGACTCGGAGCCCTGCGCGAGGTTGTGTTGGCATTGGCTCGCTCGCTGCTTTGCTCAACGTATATGTCAGAATGTCAGATGATCGTTGTTGTATCTGCAGCTGTTGCATGAGCACAGTGCCAGGGGCACAACTTTCCTGCAGTGAGCTTTAATTTGCTCTCCCCTCCCTGAAGAGCTCTGGCGCTTCACCTTGCTGCTGCCGCTGCAGCTGGAGGAGAGCTCAGCCCGCGTGCAGCTGGGGCTGCGGCACGGGAGGGAGGCAGGGAGAGAGGCAGGGAGGCAGCAGTGAAGGAAGGCAGGCAAGGAGATGGGCAAAGAGACTGGGAGACTGGGAAGGGGGCAGGGAGGCAGGGAGGCAGGGATGGAGGCAGGGGTGCAGGCAGGGGTAGACATGGAGGCAGGATTTGAGACAGGGATGGAGACAGGGGTGCAGGGTTGGAGGTAGGGGTGCAGGGAGGGAGGAAGAGAGGCAGGGGATGGAGGCAGGTATGCTGGGAAAGAGGCAGGGATGCAGGGATGGAGGCAGGGGTAGACATGGAGGTAAGATTTGAGGCAGGGATGCAGGGATGGAGGCAGAGAGGAGGGATGGAGGCAGGGATGCAGAGATTGAGGCAGGGGTGCAGGGATGGAGGCAGGGATCCAGGGAAGGAGGCAGAGAGGCAGGGATGGAGGCAGGGGTGCAGGCAGGGGTAGACATGGAGGCAAGATTTGAGACAGGGATGCAGGGATGGAGACAGGGGTGCAGGGTTGGAGGTANGGAGGCAGCAGTGAAGGAAGGCAGGCAAGGAGATGGGCAAAGAGACTGGGAGACTGGGAAGGGGGCAGGGAGGCAGGGATGCAGGGATGGAGGCAGGGGTGCAGGCAGGGGTAGACATGGAGGCAGGATTTGAGGCAGGGATGGAGGCAGGGGTAGACATGGAGGCAGGGATGCAGGGATGGAGACAGGGGTGCAGGGTTGGAGGTAGGGGTGCAGGGAGGGAGGAAGAGAGGCAGGTATGCTGGGAAAGAGGCAGGGATGCAGGGATGGAGGCAGAGAGGAGGGATGGAGGCAGGGATGCAGAGATTGAGGCAGGGGTGCAGGGATGGAGGCAGGGATGCAGAGATTGAGGCAGAGAGGCAGGGATGGAGGCAGGTATGCTGGGAAAGAGGCAGGGATGCAGGGATGGAGGCAGGGGTGAAGGCAGGGGTAGACATGGAGGCAGGATTTGAGGCAGGGATGCAGGGATGGAGGCAGAGAGGAGGGATGGAGGCAGGGGTGCAGAGATTGAGGCAGGGGTGCAGGGATGGAGGCAGGGATCCAGGGAAGGAGGCAGAGAGGCAGGGATGGAGGCAGGGGTGCAGGGATGGAGGCAGGGGTGCAGGCAGGGGTAGACAAGGAGGCAGGATTTGAGGCAGGGGTGCTGAGATAGAGGCAGGAGTGCAGGGATGGAGGCAGGGCAGGCAGGGAAGGAGGCAGGGATGCAGGCAGGGGTACGCATGGAGGCAGGATTTGAGGCAGGCATGCAGGGATGGAGGCAGAATTTGAGACAGGGTGGCAGGGAAGCAGGCAGGGAGGCAAAGCAGGGAGAGATGGAGGTGGGGAGGCAGGGAAGGAGTGAGGCAGACAGGGATGGAGGCAGGGATGGAGGCAGGGGTGCAGGGAAGGAGACAGGCAGGCAGGGAGGGAGAGAGAGAAAAAGGCAGGGAAACAGGGATAGAGGCTGAGAATCAGGGATGGAGACAGGGAAGCAGACAGAGAAGAAGCCAGGAAGGCAGGGAAGGAGGGAAACTGAGGCAGGCAGGGAGGCTCAGCACAAGCCAGGGCACAACCTGGTGGAGGTGCTGCAGACTGTTATTTGCATCTTTGCTCAATGAGGCGTTTTCCTAATTGTTTGCAGGAAGGAATTGTGAACACTGAGGGATTTATATTTGTGTGAGTCAATCTGTAGTATATTTGGAAGCTGTTCCAACAGAGCTACTCGTAGCCTAAATAAGCCATAACCTGCCAAGATATTCATGAGAGATCTGACTAGGTTTTTGACTGCTCTCAGAATTAGGTTGACAATCAAAACAGATGTAGAATGAGACTGCAACTGGATTGCCAAAGGCAAAAAGCTCCTGTCAAATTCTTTAAAGGAGGGAGCTGATAAACCACTGTAATACATGGGAATAGTGGACATTAGTGACTAGACAAGGACACATATGTCCACCTTCAGTTTTTCTCGGGACTGTGGATTTTTTTCTCAAATTAAGCAGCAAGGGCATTGGAAAAAATGCTTTTAAATACACAGGTAGTGAAAGTTTAAAAAGACACAGCATTGCTGCATGAATATTACAAGATATTTCTCAGGGTTTTTTAAAAATACGTGTTTTTGTGGAATTGCTGCATTGCTGAGTGACAAATTGGGAAGGAGCACGTCATCTGTAATTTAAAAGAAGAAAACAATAGAGAGTTTGATTAAAAAGCAACACAATTCTGTATTACTGGATATTGCTTGGTTACATCTATTATTAAGGGAGACATGAAGCATTTTGTCTTTCACTTGAGATGTTAACTAAATCAAGATTAAATATATAAAACAGGACTTCATCTTTAATAAGGAGAATGGATGCAGTGGGCTAATATGTCCACCTGTATCTTGTCTAAGAGTTTCAACTCATAATTCCTGCATCCAGGTTTTTGTAACCGAGGGAAAAGGAGAGTTGTGTAGGATGCAACAGAAATCTGAAAGATATTGGTGGGAGAATAAAACAACAACTGCTTTGCAGCTGCCTGCTGGGCAAAATCCCTGACTGGAAGAACATCTCTGGGTGCAGGGTTCCATATGGTGGGGCTTCATGGTGTTTCAGGATAGGGATGGCTGATGAATACGGAATGACACCTTTCCTTGGGGAAAATGCTGAGTCATTCAAAAGGGAGCCATCAACAAACAGGGTTTGTTTCAATGAATATCCCAACTTGAAAAATTATAGAACAAATCATAGAACAGTTTTCAAAATGTTTTACTAATTAATCATATTTTTTAAAATTACCTTTGTTCCTCAAATGCAGCATTTAGGCGTTACTTAGGTGTCTTTCAAAAGACATTCATAATGTCTGAAAGACATTTCAGAATCATATATAGAATAATATTTTAACCGCAGGAATATTTTAAAGGATTTTTTTCTGTGCAGAAGGCTGCTTGCCTTATTTTATTTCTCAAACAGCTGTGCAGGGGTCTGGATGGTGATGGACTTGTGCTCCTTTCCCCCAAACCTACCTCCCAGATATTGCCACCCTCCCCAAATTTTTCTGTATAGAGGCTAAAACATCCAGACCACTCCTTGAATCCTCTAGTTCTGCTCAGGACCTGCCCATGCGCATCCTCCAGCTCCAGGCAAAGGGCTCTGCGTGGTCTCCTTCAGATTTCTGGCTAATCTGGCTAATCCCGAGCCAGAGCAGCTGGGAGCGTGCCTGTCAGGAGCTGGCTGCCAGCCCGAGCTGGGCAAGTTGGCTGGGTGGTCACTTGGCACACGAGGGCCGTGGCACCGAGCTCGCCGGCGCTGCCCAGCTGAGCGCTCGCGGACCCGGTCCCCGCTGGCACAATCACTCTCCCTGCTCCAGCGATGAAGATGGATTGGTCCAAGTGGAGCATCAGGTCTGCAGGGCCAAAAATAAGCTGGAAATGTGAGTTCAAGCCATCCTGGCCAAGTCCTCCTCTGCACAGGCGGGACATTGTCCCATGGGGACCTTGGAGCACCTCTGGGCTTACAGAAACCCCTGGAACTAAGTGTTCCTGACATTTCTTTTGGCTCAGATGCCACTTCTCTTCTTTCCAGGAGGATCTCTCCCCTTTATTAATGCCTCTATAATCTGTTTAATTAAAATGAAGTCTATTTTTGATACCTCACGGCCAGATCCTAACCCGTATTCCCAAGTGAAGGATGTATTCCCTCCACTGCAGTGTGAGGCAATGTTATTTCTTGCACTGTATTTCCAATCAAGTTGGGCAACGTTAACTTGTCATTTTTTTTCTTCATTAGTATTCAATGCTTTCATATCCTGGTTAGATCTTGATAGGAAAATATAAAAACATGTCAAGAGACTGGTTCTGTTACAAATGGAGTGCAAAAATGATTTTGGAGAAAGCCCATTTGTGTGTGATTTCTAACCTAATTCTGCAAACCCTGGTGGTTTGGAGAGTTTAGCATCCAGAGGTTTGGGCGTTTGCCCAAACTAACCCTAAAAAGCAAACCTTTGGCTGCCTGCCTTTCAGTTGAGTGTGTGATATAAATAGCTGTGCTAGGAACAAACAAAGGAGGTATTGCATGGAGCAGCCAAGAGAGACCACGTGAGCCACTCCATCAGGCCAGGTTTTGCTGTCCCACTTGGAGACATGCTCCTACTTTTTCCTGATGCTCATGCAGAGGTGAATGGGTGCCACAAGGCAGCGAGTCTTCAGCACTTTTAACTTTCTTCAGCTTCTGTGAAGACTCACTGCTCAACCCCCTAAGAAAAAACACAAAACCAATGAATTTAAAAACTACTGAGTAAAGTTCTTCTCATGCTGGCTTTGGTGGTTTTATTGTAGAGCTGCAGTTTTAGATGAGAAGTATCAGAATGTTGTTGCAAGACCAGAACAGAGAGGAAGAGCTCAGACCTGCTTTATCCCTGCACCCCCGTTCAGGTGAAATGAGATTTGGTGTTTTCTTCAACATTTCGCAGCTTTTTGTTGTCTTTTCCTAGACTGGTTCATGGCATTGCCTGAAGTTCTAAATAAACCTTTACCTGTACTGACAAGTTTAGCCTTGACCAGGCAATAGCCTGGAATATATCAACTGTTGGAGAAATCTAAAGCCAAATGCTCAGGGAAAGAGTGGAATCACTAAAACTGGAAGAATTCATAAATCTGGAATCACTAAAACTGGAAGAATTCATAAATCTGTAGATGTGCCACTTGGGGACATCGGTTAGTGGTGGCCTTGGCAGTGCTAGAAGTCTTGATCTTAGAGAGCTTTTCCAACCTAAACAATTCTGTGATTCCAGGATTTTGTGGGCTCTTGTTATGACTTTCCTAGTACCCATTTTTGGGGTGTTTCGGTCTGTATTTGTGTGCAGAAAGCAATGTGGAAAAACAGGAGCAAACACCAATTTGCCTTTGAAAGGGCAGGATTTCCAGGGAAACCAAGTGAAATCTCACATCCCTGGCAAAACCCCTGGGCATCCTCACAGCTCAGCTGACATCCAGATATTCATGGGAGGCGTAGGAAGAATCAGGCTGCTTTATCTGCACCACCACTCTCGTGTTGCCCCTTTCTTTGCGGCTGCTCCTCTTTGATGGAAATTTTCTGTAAAATTGCCA